CGACCGTGAAAATACCGAAAACATTATTGCATGGGTGATATGCAAGTTAGTTTTTGTCAAAATAAGTGACTGGCTAAAGGTACCATTACTGTTGTTCAAATTTCATATCACTCGGCAAGTATATTCATGTACCCCAAGAGAAAAATATCCTACTTCTTTATATTGTTTATTTCTGCTATGTTTCGAAAAACGGTACTCCTCAAGGGACTACTTTGTTTGCTCTCTGACCTCATTTGCATATGAGGTGTGGAAATACCGATTTTGATTTCAGGAACGAATCAAAATAAACTGCAGTATATATGTAATAATTACTAGTATATTGCATAAGTGAAAATGTGTGATGAGGCTGTGTCACAACACATTTTATTTATTTCCAACATGCCTGGTCGGCGCCTCTGATTGCGTTTATTTTGTAATTTTATTTTCAAAATGTATCACTGGCTACGTTTGTTTTGTTTTATGTTTCCCTCTCATTTTTCGTCCGGCTGCTGCCAATCCAATAATTCGTCGCCACATATACTCAGACAAGTGATTAATCGTCATAGTCATTATACTAGTAGTTTAAGTCCAATTGATTTGTGGAATTCAGCTATGTGATGATTATATGTGCAGTTTTGTTTTGCGCACCCAGACACGAGCAAAAGTTAATGTGATAGATTTTCTGAACTACAGCATTCGTATTACTTATGCAAATTGAGTAAGGGTCATAGTGCTCGTTGCGTTCGCAAATACAACAAATGTAACAAATTGTAAGTGTCAAATTATTTTGAGCGCCGTTCGGAAGAAATTTAGTCAAAATCACTCAATACATATCACGATTGATTGACCAGTTATATAGCTGCTGTTTATACATACAATGTAACATCATCGTTACTTCAGCGGTCGGTTGACAAGCAGACGATGTTTCTGAAGCCTGCCATAGCAGGAGCGAGTGAACAAAGGCAGGCGAACGAGCGAACAATAGCAAGAGCAAGCGAACAAAAGCGAGCGAAAAAAAAGCGATTGGTTTCCGGTCAGGAATTAAGCGATAAGCGGTCGGGAAAAAAAAGAGATAAAAGCGGGAGGTTGGGCAAAATGAGTACTGTAGCCTTTATTCTTTGGTAACATCGTATTGATCGTATTTTTGTTAGACATTACAAGTTTATTATCAAAGCTAGTAAACACTGACCTGCCAGGTTCAAATAGTGGTGATGCCATCGGTGATAGTTCAACATTAAAATATAAACCACCTTCTGTTGGACGATTCTGACGAGGTTCAATTATTTCACACGAGACTTGACATAGTACCCTGTAAGTACAGCATACTTTTTATCAAAATTTTCTTAACTTAAAAAATAAACATGTTTGTGACTGAAAATATTCAAAAACTAGGTTTGTATGGTATTTATAATATGATATTGAGTTGCATAAAGGTTTACCAGTACATACAGTCAAATGCAGAAACCTAAAAACCAAAATGGCTTTTAGATTTCAAATTAACCTATTGAGAAATGGTCTTGAAACAATCATGAATTCTAATTAATACTAATAAGATAACATCATCTAATTAGCATTTTCAAGAAGTGCACTGATAAACTAAGGTACAGTTTTTTTATTTCACTGTATCAGTTCATAACATGTAGTTGAGCACCTTTACGAGAGGATGCAGAAGATGCTATAGATACCTTGTATCTCCAAGTTGAACTTCACAGTGTCCCAAGTCTTGACCAAATGATATCTTGGCATTTCGGAAGTCGTAAGCTTGTCTGCCATCAACTCTCTTCAAAAAGAGAATAAATTAATCATAATTTATGAATGTGAAAAGCCATTTATAATTATTTGAAAACACTTTTCTTCAATGGCATAGTTCCTATTTGTATTTAGCTGAATTAATATAGGATACAAAAATATGAATAACAAGCCATGCATTGCACAGTCCCCGTTAGTTATCAAATTTAAGATATATAGTTATGTTTATAGTAATATAGCTGGAATACAACCATGTCAGGAATATGATTGACATTTGTATCTGATTGTCAAACAAGTACTTGTCCATATTGAGAGATATTGCTCTGGAACAGCATTCAAAATCAGCTATTTTGAATACATGTATATATATAACATGATCATGTATAATGAATATATAAAATTTGAATATAATCAGTCAAAGCATTTAAGAGATATGGCTCTAGAAGCCCAATCATTAAAACAAAATGGCCGCCAGTCAGCCATTTTGAATCCAATCTGAAAAATAAAATGACATGCATCAGGAACCTGTAATGTCTAATGTGTGTTATAAGTTTGAACAAAATCAATCCATAAATGCAAAAAATGCTTGATATTCGAGGATTTTAAATAGCTCAAAAATAGCTAACTTTGAAAAGAATCGTCAAACCAATATATCCGTATATTTGTGACATGATGTATAATGAATATTAGAAATTTGAACATAATCAGTCAAAATCAAAGAAAGCTTAGAAAGAACTCCCATGTGCTGAGAGTATTGAAGACACATTAAAAATGAATTCAAATTACTTGTACATGAGATATCGATGGAAAAGCTGAAAACTAATTATGTAAATCAGTAACTAATATGAACAGAACAGAACAAGCAAATTATGAATTATTATGCTAATTAGAGAAT